GGAAAGTAAAGGGAAATACAGGAAATAACTAGGGGGCAAAGGGCATTTATAGAGGTCTAAATACAGGCATGTACATATGTAAATATATTTATATGATGATGGGGAAATGTATATGTGTGCATATATCTCTATGTTAAGTATTAAGGTAGTAGATGGACATTGGGCCTCTACTCCATGCAAGAACACTTTGATCTAATAACCTGGTATTCTGTGATGCTCAGCTTCCCAACACGATCACTGAAGACAAATAGGTGCATAAGCAAATGTAGTGAAAAAAGCTGATGGTGCCTGGCTATTAAAGATGTAGCATCTGGGGTCTTAAAGTCTTGAAGATAAACAAGCAGCCATCTAGCTCAGAATCAACAAAATTCACATGGAAGAAGCACAACAGTCTGTGTGACTATGAGGTGTCAATGGGTCCAGGTATCAGGCAACAAAGACCCAGAACAAAAAAATCATATCAATGTGAGTGAAGGGGAGTGCGGAGTGGAGACCCAAAGCTCATCTGTTGACAATTGGACATCCCCTTCCAGAAGGGTCACAGGGAAGAGACAAGCCAGTCAGGTGCAGTATAGCACTGATGAAACATACAACTTTCCTCTAGCTCTTTAATGCTTCCTCTCCCCGACTATCATGATTCCAATTCTATCTTGTAAATCCGGCTAGACCAGAGCAAGTACATGGGTATATATAAGAGTTGGAAACACAGGTAATCCAGGACAGATAAACCCCTCAAGACCAATAATGAGAGTAGCAATACCAGGAGGGTAAGGGTAAGGTGGGGGGAGAAAAGGGGAACTGATCACAATGATCTACATATAACCCTTTCCCAGGGGGATGCACAACAAAAAAGTGGGTGAATGGAGACATTGGTCAGTGTAAGACATGAGGAAAAAAAGATTAATTATCAAGGGTTCATGAGGGAGGGAGGGTAGAACAGGGAGGGAAAAAAATGAGGAGCTGATACCAAGGGCTCAAGTAGAAAGCAAATTTTTTGAGAATGATGATGGAAACAAATGTACCAATGTGTTTGACACAATGGATGGATGTATGGATTGTGATAAGAGCTGTACAAGTCCCCAATAAAATTATTTTTTTAAAAAAGTACTCCTTCCTCTCCCTTCTTTTTCCATTGGGAATTGGTAAATAAATCAACAAACTTCATTTTCCCTTAACCCTAGAATGCCGAGTGTGACATTTTCATAGTATTTAATTAAATGTATATATTAATTTAATATATATTGATAACTATGAAAGTAAAGAATAAAAACAAAATTTTTTTTTCCTGACATTAAAAATTCAGGCATTATAGGGTTAAAACCAATGCCAAACCTGTTAATATAAAACAAACAAGCAAACTTCATTGCCTTGGAGCCATTTCCTACGCACAGAGATCCTATCAGACAGGGAAGAATGACCCCTACATGTTTCTGAGACTGTTACTCTTTACAGGAGTAGAAAGCCTTGTCTTTCTCCCTTGGAGCATTTGGTGGTTTCAAACTGCCTGTCTTGTGCAGTTAGCAGCCCAACACATAACCAGGGCTCCCATGGATATTGCTAATCGGGCACAAGATTAAAGACTACCCTTGATTTGCTATCAAGGTGGTTCAAATACTGAGTGATCGTCTGTACTTAGTTTGCTTCAAAAAATATGTATAGACATCCAACGTTTCTTTTGTCGTTCTTTGTTTCTTAGTTTGAAACACAACTCGGATGGTAAAGTGCTTTAAGTTGCCACCGACTTGACTTCAACTCTTGGGGACCCCATGAATGTGTGTCACAGGAGGTTTTTTGGATGGAGATCACCAGAATTTCTTCGAAGGAGCCTCTGGGGATCTTGAATCTCTAATATTTCCATTAGCAGTGGGCTACACTAATTGCATACACTACCCAGCAACTCGTGGTGAAGTTAGAGTTGGTGTGAGAAATATTATTTCACTGAGGGCTTACTTTCTAGTCTTATTTTCTTTAGCTTTTTCGTTTCCTGTTTTCCCAAAGGTGGTTGTTCCCTGAGTCAGGGTGCTGTCTTTCTCTCCATCCCTTACCCTCCCCCAGCCCTTCCCTTGTTCCCTCCCTTACTGCCCCGTTGGACCTGGTGCGCAGCTGCATTTCCTAATTGTCTGTACAGGAGAATCTCGGCAGTGGCTTCCTCCCCAAGGACCACGAAAAATATCTGGGCACATAGTCTGCAAACGACAAAAGAACGAGTTTGGCAAGACAGGTACGTGGGCTGCCCAAGTTGGGGCAGCACGTGGTACCAATCCAAGCAAAAGGCCATCTTAATTGGATATTGAGATTCCCCGCCCGGCCCCGCTCCCAGGCCTTCCCCACGTATGAAGAAAACCTACTATTTTGCTCTGAACAGCTATTCGCCCCCTGCCCCAGAACTCAGATATGTGACCACTCTATGAAGGACAATGTTTGCAATATCAGCCTTGCTCAGAGGTTTAGCGGGTAAGGGCAGCGGAAAGAAAATGAATAATGAGGTGCCTGATTTTGATGTCAGAAAGGTGAGCAAAAGTGAGAACAGAGGGTGGGTGTGGTGATGACACCCTAGAAATTGTATGCATTCAAGACCCCCAGAACTCATTTCAATGCATTTCTTTCCAGTTTGCGCAATGTAATTGAAAAGGAAAACACGGTTTTAAAATGTTATCATTAAAGATCATTCAGATTCTGAAGTCCTTTTTAAGAAATAGTCCTTCAATTCAATTGCATCAAATTGAAGCCTTGATTAATAACAGGAAACATATTAATGTTCAATTCAAATGCCAGGAAATTCTGGTCAACTATTCCCCAGACTCAGTAGGTTTTAGAGAAATACAACGCAAAATTCCCCAACTCACTGCTTGGCAACCCGTCCCACCGGGGAGTTCCATCTTGAAGGGGCCGACATTTGTCAGCCCCAGGGTGTAAGGACTACATCCGTGGTAGGCCCCTCTGCAGAGGGAAAACAACAGGGGGTTGGGGTAAGTTCACCTTCTTTAATCAAGGTCTTCTGAAAAACTGAGGAGGGCGAAAGAGAAAACACAGGAAGGCCAGGGACAGGAAACAGGCAGCATTAGTATCAACTTCAATGAAGTTTTGGAAATTATCACGCCTATTGCTGGCGAATTTACTTACTTACCTTTTTACAGGTGGCAGAGATTGGAAATACTGTCAGAAATTTTGGAGAAATTCTGGCTTGAGGGCATACTTTACTACTCAAAAGTAATGCGACCAATCTTCTAGCAAACATATCAGAAATGATGTCTTTGGTGAGTGTTATTTTTCAAAATGAAACCCCTGAGGGGTATAAGCAGTTCATGTGCTCAGCTGCTAAGCTAACGACTGGTGGTTTGAGTGCACCCCCAGCTGCTTTGGAAGACCTAGCAAAGCACTTCAGAAAGTCCCAGCCATCAACAGTTCTATGGAAGCTAGTGCAGCTCGGACACACTTCGAGTCATCATGAGTCGGAATCGCCTGCAGCCTTCATTAGGAGACCAGATAGCTGTTCCCCTTCTGTATCTGTTGCTGAGTAGCTTTGGGACTTCTTCCATAAATCTCTTGTAACCACCGTATGAGGCATATAAGAAAAAAAGGTGCTTGATTTCTCAAACTCGAAACTGTCATCATTTAGTACAAAGTGTCTGATTCCAATGAGTTTCAGCAATTTTCTAAATCAAGATCACCCGTACGCAGTCAGAATCTAGGGCTAATAAGAGGATTTAAAAGAATGGTTCTCTATTTTAAAAGAGGATACATAAACATTCTGATGGCTTAACAATGGTTGATCCTCATCAAGAACACACATCTTCTGGAATTTTATTTAGGGAAAACATCCATCAGAATTCTTTATTGCTACAGCTCCTTTATAGCAGTTGCTTCTGTAGTTTGTAATAACTGCACGTGCATTTTATATGGAATTTTGTGTTGTATGTAATTTAGTAAGGTTGAAATCAACCTTC